CACACACACACACACACACACACACACACACACACACAAACACATGGAAAATGAAGCAGTAATAAATTCCTAAAAATACTTGACAAACTTAAAACAATATTTCAGCAAGGAAGTGATGTAAACGGGGTAACAAATGCTGAGCAAAATTAGGGAAATGTGAGTTAAGCCAGGAGTTGTCCACTGCAGACCTTTTAGAATGGCCAACAAGACAAGGAAAATGGAAACCAAATGCTCTGTGTGCAAAGCAGCTGAGCCCTGTGTGAGGCTGGCGGGGACGCAGACAACACGGGCCTCGGGAAGGCTGGCAGCTAGCTTCTCACTGATTCACACACACATTTGCCGAACGGTCCAGCAAATCTATTCCTTGGCATCTACCCTCAACAGGGGACATTATGTCCGTCCACAATTCTATCTGTAAATGTCTACCACACATTTACTTGTAATTACACTAAACTGGAGAATCCTGCAATTTCCCATCAATCTGTGAGTGATGAACCAATGCTGACCCATTCCCAGCACAGTACAACTGCCGCAGACACACATGCCAACACAGGGCAGGCTCAGGAGACGGACGGAGACACCAGGTCCTATAAGAGTTCATTTTACATAGTGCTTTGCCAAGCTACAGGGACAGAAACCTCATCGGGTGCAGAATGTGAGGTCCTCCTGGGAAGATGAAAATGCCACAGACGTCTGTGTGTTCATGAGAACCCACAGACCTATGCGCTGCAAATAAATTTGTACTTCAATGTATCTGAAGAATGTAGAGCCCAGACAAAGACCTAAAAAAGAGAAGAGTGCTGAGGGTGGGCCGTCAGTCAGGATCAGACAACCGGTCACTCTACCTCACTGTACTCAGAAAATGAAAAGGACAGTTATGTCAACAAATGTGTAAAATCGTTTTATTGTCTCATAGGAATCAAAGAACTTTTTTTTTAACTCGTGAATTTGCATTCATGCTACTGTGAAATCTTCTGGTAGGCAGAAGGATGCTATTTCTAGACTCAGATACAAAACATGGTGGCAGTTTCAGGGTGCTGTCTCTCTCTCTTAAATCACTGCTTCTGAGGTGGGATCTTAGATTCAATGAACACACCTAAAGGGAGGGACCACATAGGGAGGATGGAAACCTCCTGGGATCAGCCACTAGAGCCGGTTAGGAAGTGGTGGCCTCTCCACAAAGCCACCTCTACATCCCTGTCTCAACCCACTGAGATAATAATCAGTGTGTGTTGTCTTTGCCTGGTAAGTTTGGGGATATTTGTTACACAGCACAATCTGACACAGTGGTTAAATACAAAAAGAAATATAATCAAACCTTAATTAAGGGTTATGCAGCTGGCAGGAAAAAAAACTATGGTTCTTAGGAATAAAAGCACATGATCTTTAAGCAAAAATCACAAAACATATCTGAAGAGCAAAGACTAGTTCGGTAGAAAGAGCTACAGTGGCATCCCTCACCATCCAACTCAAGCCATGGGGACTCATCACCTGAATGCATTTCAGTGAAGGAAAACCTTCAGTCCCCCCAATGGAAACAAACACACAGCTAATGAACAGGGGTGATGCTTCAGCATGATGACGGGGTGAGTCCCACAGAGGCCTTCTAAAAAGCTGACAGAACGGCAACCTAAAGCCAAGTCGTTATTAAACAACCACAGACACAAACAAAACCAACCAAACAAACAAACAAAACCCCAATACTCTATAGGGCACCTATAGAAAACGCCACACACATATGAAGAACAAACCAGGAATTAAAATGAAAGACTTGATGTTTCAAACTCATGGGTCTTCCCACAGAACTAATATCATAAAAATGAACACATGATGAAAAAAGGCAAAAAAGTAAAAATATTAAAGAAAATTTTAAGTTAAAAAAGATAGGAAATGCAACATCCATTTCTGAAAATTATTTCATATGAAATTCTTAAAGCAAGCAGTATTGTCACTGACCCATCCTAGGCCAGCTGAGCCCGACAGCCTGCAGCAGCGAGCTCCTGGCTTACCAGTCCTCCGGCTTCACTGCGCTGGGGTCAGGGATTCTGGCCCTGTCGTCCCACTCGTCTGGCTTTGTGTCATTGGGATCATCGATTTCTCTGGGGGGATTGATAGGTGGGGTCACATCCTCCAACAAGCTCCCTTGGTTCACAACTTTCTGATCAATGAATATTTCAAATGTATCATCCGGATTCAACACTAAGGAACAGTTTTAACACTTACAGTTAGTATGCAGACAGACACTGCAAAGATAATCTTCGAATAAAATGACCTGAACTTTACGGATACAATTTCCTCTTAATTAGGAAAACCCAGTGTATTGCATCAAACTTGCTGAAACCACTAGCTACAATATTTCAAACAGAAATACAAGGTTTGTTTTAAACTCATTATTAAAAAATGAAATTTCCATTGTTCCCACAGGCAAACTCCTCAAAAACTAGCTGACCCAGGTGGGGACTCATGGCCACAAAGTGTCCCTGGTACAGTTACACGACGTAATCCGATCTTCCTCTTAATAAAGCAACCTCCCCCAACTTAAGAGGTTGCAAGTATATTACAAAGAACTCAAATTGTTTTAGAACCATTTGAAAGTTCCAGATCCAGTACATATCACCCCTAAAAGTGGATTTTCCTACAAACCTACATTTCCCTACGTAAACCCCACGCAGCAGACAGGGTCAGCAAAGTCGCCCCACCGCATGACTTTCATCCCTTCTGAACTCCCCATCCCCTATTGGGCATGCTATTCATTTTCTCCCGTGTTGTTATTTGACACAGCTTGACCTCTCCCAGAGATAAACTTCTTAAAGGTAGAGACATTTGTTTCTCCTGAAAGCACAGGCTGTCAGCAAGTCTGTGGTCACCAGGTACTTTGAATGAATGAATGAATGAATGAATGAATGAATGACGTACCAAGAGTATAGAGGTGAGTCTTCCTGTCTGTAAAGAACTCCTTCAGATCAACATCTGGAGGTTTGGCGTGCTTTTCTTCAAAAGCTCCAGTTTTGGGATGTTTGTGTCTGAAGATAAAATGCAGTTTATAATCCTCTCCACATTTATCTGGTCCAAACATGATGGTGTAGGACGTTTTGTCATAAAAGTCTTCCTTCAAAGAGATGATGGTCCAGGTTAGTCCAGAGTCACAGCGTGGTCAGTGATTCTATTCTCTCCAATGGTGGAGTTTACAGACTAAAGTTAGGTGCCAACTTACTGAAGAACCAACACAAAGGACAATAAAGGACAGGGCACGCTTAGAGAAGCAAGTGCTACTTCCGTCCTAAAGGCGCAGGGAAGCTGGTGCCTTAGCATCAGAAGAAAGCTTCCTTCAGCACTTTACGCAGATACACACTAACAGTTCATAGGAAATTAAGCACATTTACAACCTTAGGCTAAAGTAATTATTCATTACCATTATCCAGGAAGATAACAGAAATAACCCTTAGAAAAACATGCTCAGATGTAGAGAGGCACTCCGGATTTCATTCCTTGTGGGGTCTATTCCTCTGGCCTGTTATTCTGCACTCAGATACTGTAGCTCCAACGCTGCCACTGCCATGTGACTGAGCGTGTGTGAGCTTCTGAGCCCTCTAGATCCCCACGCCATCACATCTCAAATGTGGAGATGACAGTCCCCACCTTCGAAGGGCTCTCTGAGGACTCACTGAGTCCAATGAAGTCCTTGAAGGAGTTCGAGCCAATGACCTACAGACCTAATCTGAGAGCTCCACTAAGTACTTCCTACAAATGGCCTCTCTTCTGTCTGATGCTAAAGCCAGCAGGGCAGAAAGCGACTTCTGATGCCCTGTGCAGCTGGCCCACAACCAAGCCATCTCACTACCTGATGTCGCTTCACTTCTGCTACAGCCAGGTGGCGCTCCCACCGTGAGCTTTTCTTTTGCAGAATGCTATAAGAAATGCCCCCAACCTGTCCCAACTCTAATGCTGCTTTAGTCTTTTCTGTGTGTTGGTGACACTTGAAACAGCCCAGCTTTCGATGTGGGCTTCAGGCCACTTCTGCTTCGTGTTTCTCTGAGCAAACTTGGGAAGAACTCCAATTTGACACCTCATCAGCATCTCTAAGCACCTGATGCTTCTATTTGCAGACAGGCAGAGTTATTTACGTTACTAAAGGGCACAGAATTGATATCTTCATCAAGTTATAAATCCTGAAGGCAACCTGTAAAGACCACGTAGACTCACATTGGAAAAAGACATATAGTTATTATTTTCAACTGAAAACAAACTTTCCAGCTGTTGTTGACTGCTCCTTAGAATACTTACTGACTTTTGAACAAGGTGTTCTTAGATATTAAAATGTCATACCAGAATCAAATCATCAGTGTCTGCTAGCAGTTTAATGTATGCACCTCCACAATCAATACCATCTTGAAAATTTACTTCATATCTAAATGGAGGGAAAAAGAACCACATTGCCGATAAATAAAAGTTACTCGTTTTTCTTTAAAGTATAATGAATTACTCTCAATTCCTCTAAGCAGAATACTTCACATTACTGCCAAGCTCATTCATATAAAGAATATCTACAACTTACAGGAAGTGAGCAGACATGCTCATCTAATGTTTCAAGTCATGATGTTAAAATAGGAAAGTATTTACAAATAATTACAACCACCTCATTTACATAATTTTCCCAGTCAAAGTATTAGGGGGAAGATAAGAGAGTTTTAACTGAACTGCAACAGAAAACCCCAAATTCTGATGAGGTAAGTTCTCCCTAGATTCTCCTTCTCGATGGAACTGGGTATCAAACCCAGGCCTCCTTCAAGCTGGGTAAGTACTCTACAGCTGAGCCAATCCGCAGCCTCCTTGTTCTGTGTGTTCTTAGCTACAACAGGTTTCTCAGAAACTGATGATAACATTGGAGATTCGGAACCCAGTACTAACTTATTTTAATTCAACTACACCTAAACCATGCTCAATAGTTTGAATTTATTGAATTAGATTTTCACTCAATAACTTGAGGTATTTCACACCAAAGGAACCATGAGAAAAGTGAAACTTCCACTGTCTAGTGTGACAGCTAAACACCTAAGTCTCTCAGATTTATAACACCCTAGAAGTCTCAACCAAATCTATTTTAGGTTGTTTTTAAAGAAATAGTATTGCTAAAATAATAAGACATAAGCTTAGGTGTCTGATAAATCAACGAATCATATGTGAAAAAAATCCATGAAGTAGTTGTCAAAGTGAAAAACAGTTTAAAAAATGAAAAAAGTTTTTTTTAATACGTTAAGTGAAACTAAAGAAACTGTATACAATGCTGATTATTTAATAAATGACTATAGTTTTAAATGTTTCCAGCAACTTCAGGGACAAGATGAAAAAATAAAAAAGCATACACAACCTCCCAGCTTAAACCCAATTGGTGTACACATTTGAATCAAAAAGAGAGAAAGAAAAAAGAAAGGAAGGTAGGAAGACTGTGAGCGAGTCTGCATAGTTTGCAAGCCTGCAGGCACCATTCCTGCCTGGCTACTTCCAGGCTGTCCGCAGGAGGGCTCCAGGCACAGACTTTCAAGTGGGAAAGCCCTAAACTGCTTCTAGATTCTTCCACCTGCCCCACTGCCCCCTGTGTGAGCACAAATCATTTAATAAGCTTTGGATCTGTTTGATCACCTATGATGCGGGATGTGGCCCTCACCCACTTAAAGAACTTAAGGGTATCTCTATGACAGGGAAACAAAGCTTCAAGCACGTCACATTCTGTTAAGGAACTTAATAAAAACAATTTAAAACAGTTTCAAAATCAAGGAAAATGTGTTTCTCTGAAAGCATACGTTTCACTTAACACATAGCCTGACAGTTTCTTCACGGGTTCATATCTCTGAAGATGAAAACAGAAGAAACAACACCTAGTCTGGCTTAAATGTTGTCATTTTCAGGAAAATTAAATAGAAAAGATTGCTGTATTCCAGGTGACTCCAGGAAGAAGGGTCCTCCAGGAAGTGCAGACGCTAGAGGAACACCACAACTGGTCTATAGACAGCAATGTGGCTTTGCGATCTCGTCAAGCTAAGCCTCAGTCACTGTTCATTGCTTATCCTGCAAACTTTCTGTTTCTGAATGTTAGCTCTGCAGGGCCTGCCTGCCTCTCAGATACTTGGGAGGTGGAGACAAGGAGGACCCTGAAGTGAAGTACAGACAGGGCAACTTGGTGAGACCTTGTTGCAAAATAAAAAGTACAACCAGGGCAGGGACCTCAGAGGCAGAGCATTGCCCAGCGCACGCTAAGGTTTGCTTTCCATTCCCAGCGCCATTAGAAACAAACCCACAAACAAATCGAACATTAACTTGCTAACATAAATCAAACACAGTGGACTGGGGGGGTCAGCAAAACGTCTGCCATCATATAAGGAGACTGCTGCTAAATGTCTAGCCAACAGGAAACCGAGAACACAGACACAGTATCTGTGGTAAGTCTGATTTCTCAGGAGTATCATTTACCAAACATTCTAGGAGACAGTTAATGGGAGAAAACTAACTTAGATGGTCAGGTATACCTGGGGAAAACAATATTAAAGCTACAGATGGTTTTTATATGTAGAACTTCTTAAAATCTTTCATGGGCTAATGCGCTTTCTTCTTAGGCTAGGCCATCTCTAATTTTCAAAAGCTATTTGATCCCACAGCACATACAAGCTGGATGTTTCTTTGAGAGCCATGCACGGACTTTACCTGCTGGGTATCCCCGTCTGAAAGCTGAAATGCTCTAAAATCCAAAGCACTTTGAGACACACTTAGTCAATCAAGCTATTTCAAATTTCAGAGCAATAGATAGTTCTAAGTGTTTTGAGGACTGAGAGAAATTTAAAACAAACAAATAAAAAACAGAAAAATTGCTATTTTGATGGAGTTTTTGAGGTAGAGTGTGGAGCATACTAGAGACACAATAGAAATATAAAACGGAGAGCCGAGACAGCCCCAGGAAGGGTAGAAGCAGACAGCATCCAGTATCCCATCCCTCCAGCCTAGACCAATTTAAATCCAAAGAGGCTTCAGGAAGTGGAGAACTGGCCAGTGGGAGGCTTCCAACAATGCCAGCTAATGCTGCGGGCACTGACCTATTTGTTACAGAAGAAGCCCACATGCAGCCTTCACAACCCCAGCTCAGCATAGGTAACTGGCAAGAAACCCACAGCACTGAATTACCTTTTAAAAACAAGTGCCCAGCTCATACAGTGTCAGGCCCCGCCCAGACTCCCAATGAACGGCTCCACTCTAGAACTTGCCCACCTGTGTCCCACAAAGCAGCTGAGCACTTCCAGCTCCACCCTCATCCACCCTCATCCTGGGAAACAGAAAAAAAAACATCCTGCCTTGAACAGATTGGCCCACCCGCAGACCCTGGAAGGATCTGGACATCTGCGTCCACTTCGAGCACCCATCTCAGTCCACCAAGGTCCTGCCAAGGAAGGCAGTGGTCAAGCCTGGACACTGGTGAGCATCTGTCACCATAACCAAGAACATCCACTACATCCTCCCAGGCCCTCTAGCCTAGAGACCGCATGACCTTCAGCTGTCTAACATGGGCCCGCGCTATGGCCCCAGAAATCAATGTGTTTCCTGTCCCTCCTGCTGAGAGTGATGCACCATGCCACCCTGGATCACCTGGAGCATCTCCACACCCGCTAAAACAAAACAAACAAAACACCAAACTGTAGAAGCTGCATGTAGTGCAAAACTTGCTCCACCTGAAGAGCTGCATACATGCTGATAGTGACCTTACAGACCCCAGCCACCTAAGTAATTGAGACACCTGCAACCATCGGTTTTATAGCTAAAGATGCTACATGACACCACACTACTGTGCCCAAGTGGAACTAAAGCCAGTGTGGCCTACCCAACCAGATCTAGGAGTCCTTGCCAGGAACATGCAGTTTACTGCAAAAGCCGCTGTGTGGAGGGAGTCGACCTGAATTCTCCAGGGAAATCCAACTGGAGAAAACTGTGTCTGAAACACATGATTCTTCAAGTCTGAAGCATCTCAAGAGGAATTTCATAAAACCACGAGAGAAAGGCATTGTGCACACTGGGAAGCAGATGCTGTAGGGAAAACCTCACAGGTCCCAAAAGCAACCAGGATGGAGAACTCATGGAATTTACAAAAACAAAAGCTAAAGACTGGCAATCGAGAACACCTTAGCCAACAGAGCTAGCCTTTCAAAACGAAGGGAAAAGAATCACTTCCAAGGGCAAGCAAAACCTCTGTCAATTCAGCACCAACAGACCAAGCCTTATAAGAAATTCAGAAGGGAGTCCTACTTAGGAGGCAAAAGGACAATAGTGACCAACACAGAAGCACATTAAAACATAAAACTCAAAGCACACACACACACACACACACACACACACACACACACACACACTTATTTAAATAATCAGAGATGAACAGTAAGAGAAAAGTCAAACAACAAAAAATTACAAAACAAAAATGTATTGACAAAATTGGAAAACCCTGGTAACAATAGCCTTGAAGAGCAACGATTTATACTCCTCAAACAATGTTAGACTTGCTGAGTAAATTTAAGAAAAGTGAACTAAACAAACAAACAAACAACATCAAAAACCCCAAAACACAAGAAGAGGAGCCAACCATTTTTCATCTATGAAGAGGTTCACAGAGGTGGGACACGAAAAGATTTGTCATTCAGCGGGAAGAGGACAGCTCTGCTCACGCCAGGCAGCAGGCAGAAAGGAGACAAATCACTGTACTGACAAAGGAGTCAGCTAGAGGGGATGAAATCCCAAGCAGTGCGGGTGTGAACTGGAGACTTCAGCATCATGTGATCACAAGGAGAACCAGTAATGTGGGAAACTCCTACACCCCCCAATTTAACAATGAACAGACCATGTAAGCAGACAGTCACTGGATTTAAACTATTCCAGACCAACTAACAGTTACAGAGTGCATCCCCCAGCACCTGCAGAAACACATTCTACCTAGTAGGACCCAGGGCTTCCTCCAGGAGATACCACATGCTAGTACAAAACAAGTCACACAAATTAGAAATAATTATTAATCAATTAATGTTTGGGCTGCATGAAACATTCCAGAGCAAAAAGAAAAAAAATCTCAAAAGTCCTATTAAAAATATGTGCAGGATTTTAATTCTAGCACTTGGGACTCAGAGGCAAGTGGATCTCTGAGTTTGAGGCCAGCCTGGTCTACAGAGTGTGTTCTAGGTCAGCCAGGGCTACACAGAGAAACCCTGTCTCAGAAAACAAAAAGTGCAATACGCTTACACAGACATTTCTCAAAAGAAGAAACACATGAACAGCAGTATAGTAAAAGGCATGCTCTGCCATAAATCAGGAAAACAGCAAAACCTTACCCCAGGTGGAAAGACTTTAATGAAAGCAAAAGCAAAAACAAAAACTCAACCAGCAACAACAAAAAACCCAAACAAACAAAAAACAAAGAACACCCTAAAAGAAACAAACAAACCTGTTTACGATGTCAAACAGGACAATTTTACATATTGATGGTAGAACAATATATTAATACAGCCACTGTGAGAAACGGCACTAGATTTCTCAGACGAAAACCAGAAGTGCACCGGAGCCATTTGTCAGCTCTCCCAGGGCTGTAATCAGTGCACAAGATGCCTGCACTTCCAACTTTCACTCAGCACCACATTCTCTATGGCCACGATGCAGAATTAACTGAGGTGACCACGGATATTTGGATAAGGAGGGGGTGGTCCATATGCTCAATGGAGTACTGCTCAGTCACTTAAAAAGATTAAACTTTATTTACAGGGACATGGCTGGGACCATGGAACATCACATTGAGTAAAATAATTCCAACAAAAACCCTGAAGATATATACCAAGGTCTCACTCCTTTTGGAAGGTAAAATATTGATTTTATAGAAGTGAAAAAGAGTTGAGGAAGGAAAGAGGGAAGATGAAGATCAGGGTCTCAAACACACTCAGAGGAGGAGGGGGGACTACAGAACACTCAGGAGGAGGAGGGGGGACTACAGAACACTCAGGAGGAGGAGGAGGGGGGACTACAGAACACTCAGGAGGAGGGGGGACTACAGAACACTCAGGAGGAGGAGTGGGGGACTACAGAACACGCAGGAAGGGGGGGGAACTACACAACACTCAACAATAGCAAGCAACTACAGTGATTTACTTCTAGAAAGACCAGGAAGGAAGGTCAAGACACAAAGACATGATAAGCATTTAAAGAGACAGAGAGGTGAACTTCCTTTACACAGTGACTGTAGCACACATATTAAACTACCATACACCACCCAGAGAGTGCATGTGTAAAATTAAGATTTGAAATAAATAGTGAACCAAAAAAGTAGTTCAAAATTGTTGTTATATGAAGAAGTGATGACAGAAGTTGGAAAAAATGTTCGAAATGTCAAAGCATTTCAGATCTCAGATTAGGCGTGCGCCACAAGATCATGCTCTACATGTACTGACATGTATTGGCATGTATTGGCATGTACTGACATGTACTGACATGTATTGACATGTATTGGCATGTACACAAACTGCAAAAGGTACCATAAAGTTCAGCAAAAATCAAGTGCCAGTTAAAGCATTTAACATAAGATATTTTCATTTTGGTACATCTGACTACTCTTCGGTTCTTGAGCCTCTTTGATTTTTCTAAACAATCATTTCACAGCTGTTTTGAAAAATTTTAGATGTATTTTTCTGTTTGCTTCTTATCTGACAGACAACATTTTCTCATCAGTGACTCACACAGAGTCACTGACAACTTGAATTATCCCTGACAACTTGAATTTTCTATTTGTTTTCTGCACAACCCTTCTTATCCATAAAGTGATGCTCTATACATCTGACTTTCTACCTTTAAGAGACTGAGAGTAAGGCTGCTTTAAAGCCTCAAGGGAGGGTGGGGAGATGGCTCAGTAGTTAAAGTGTTTGACACCCACGCATTAGGACCAGAGTTCAGATCCCCAGAACTCATGTAAAGTACTGGATAAACAAGGAGGCCAGCCTCAGAAAGTGGAGGCAGGGGATTCACAGGGCAGGCTGGCTAGGGAGACATGTTGCAGATCAAGAGACTCTGTCTCAGAGAATAAGATGAAATTGCATCAAGGACGATCCCAGCCAGCATCAACCTCAGGCTCCACAGGCATACACACACATACATATGATTGCACCCAACGCCCTGGCCCCCTGCCCCCTACTCCCCACCCTCTGTCCCCCATCCCCTGCCACCTCCAAACACACCACAGAGAGGGAAAAAAGTAAAAGAAAGAAATTACCAGCAACACAAAAATCAGACCAAATCCTAATTAGTGGTAAATAATACCAATGTGGATATTGGTCCACTAAGTATTTGTAATGTTATTCTAGTTGGTTCAATTAGCAGGGAAGCCCTCTTGTCTTGACTTGGTATGGAATGGCCACTGAAATGGGTTCATCTAGACTAGAGCTTAATCCCAGGAGGGAAGCCTGCTCACTGCATCGGCAGAGGACTGAGGGTCCGGAGGCCCGGCAGGCACCGCTGCTATTTCTGTGGGACACATTGACCTGGGACAGTTTCAGCTCGCCAGTAACACGAACACAGTTCCTTCCTTTTATGACCTGGATAGGGAAGTTTTCAGAGCTTCATTTTGGCTTTACAACGCTACTGGAGAGAGAAGGTTGGGGATTTACAGCCGACCTGGGGCAGTGCTCTTGCAAACCACCTGGCTGATGGCAGTGCAGGGGAAGAGGAGGTCTCTGGCAGCGTGGGGCTTTGTGGGACACCAACGTCAGACAGGGTTTCCCTAGAATCGATCCTCAGCCTTGAGTGGCTAGGCATGAACAGGCCATAAGCTGGCCACGTTTACAGTTCTGTTCTGAATGTCCTGAGGACTACCCTATCAGCAAGGAACTAGAAAAACTAAGATAAAGGTGTGACTTCACCAACCTTTGTGGTGACAGAATTGTGCATTCAGGATGTGTGATGTGTAGTTTATCACTAAGCCGTTTGCCCCCAAAGCCCAGGGTGTGGTTACTGGTGTGTGTATTTGTATATGGCCCTGGAAAGGGAAATGCAGATTTTTTGTTGTTGTTGTTGTACATAGCAGCAAAACCTGACATAATTCAGATGCCGAATTATACCAAACTAATAACAATTAAAAATCTTAAAACTTACTGAACTATCAAAGGTTTATCAGAGAAAATAAAGGGCTTTTCGAGGATGGCAGATATTGCATGGTGCTTGGCCTTAGACTTCAGAACCAGCCCTCGGTCGCCTGGCACCTGGTCTTCCCTCAGCTCCTCTATTTCCCATCTTCCTAAAGGAGGAAGAAAAGTAAGTGAGCGAAAACAGAAGACACACAGAAGACCGTCTCCCAGCAGTTGTGAGCAGTGATCTTTCCCATGAAAACTGATGACAGAAAAATTAAGCCAAATAAGACATCAGGAAATAATGCGGTTTGTATTTCCCTTCCTTTCTGGAACCCTCTCCTTCCTCCTCCTCATTTCCCTTTTCATCTTTCCCTCACCGCCCCCCACTCCCCACTCCCCCACCCCATCTCCGGCACCCCATCCTTTCTCTTCCTTTCTCTCTCTCTCCTCCTTTATTTCCCATCCCTCCCCTTTTCTTTTTCTTGTCATTGTTCAGAAACTGGTTTCATTTCCTTAGCCTAACTCGGAAGACTAATAAATAACACAACAAACACACTTCTAAAATGGATGCAATTCATCCATTGACGTACTTTCAATAAAACAAATGATAAATTACAGTTTGTCTCATAGGTCTGTGAATGCTGACTTTAAAAAACAAGATATAAAAGCAAGTGCCCTTCCTGTCCAAGCACACCCTCTTGACCAAGAGCAGAGTTTGCCTTGTCCGGACACTTAAAATAAGAAAAAAAAAACCCACAAAAATAAGATGAGCTATTTAAAAATGCCTATGAGACAAGCCAAGCAGTCTGCCCCAGGGTGGAGCTAACGAGCGCTCTTCAAGCATCTTCATGGCAGCTGCTGCAGGTACTTCAACAGCGCTGGAAAACTATCTCACCACACAAACCCTGCCCCGGTTAAGTCACATGACCGAGAGCTTTGGGCCAGAAAGCAGCAGCACCCCAGAGAAGCACTAAGCCAGCCAGCAGCAAAGCCCAGCGGGGGCTCTGGACTGGGAGTTCAGCCTTTGGATCTGAGTGTTCCCGCCCTGAGACCATGGGGCTATGCAGCCCAGTCTGGATTCCCAGACTTCTGTGTTGGACATCACTCTTTTCTCTTTCAAAATAGGGGGAAAATCAACTTATGTTAATTTCAAAATTATGTGTTTGAAAATTATGCATGTTTGTTCCAACTAAGCTCAACTCCGCAAAAGATGGTGATTTTGCTACCATGTTTCAACTCACAGTGATTTTATGGGCACTAATTAATCACTGATGTTCGAGACTGCTTTTTTTTCTTTCTAAAAACAATGCAACTGCCACAACTCTTATGATCAAAGCAGTGTGAGGTTTAGTCTGTCACTTTGTGTGGACTTTTGGGATTTTAAAAGAAATCCTAAAGATTTTCGAGAGCAACACATTGTATGCAACTGATCACATCACACTCAGAGAGCTCAGGCAGGGGAGTGCATGACTGAGGGCAGCCTGGGGGACACAGTAAGCCCCATCTTAAAAATAAAAGCTTGCAGGTCTCCCTAAAGCACACCCCCATCTTATGCTTTTACAGAGTGAACATTTGGCTTGATTTTTCTAAAAAAAAAAAAAAAAAAAAAAAAAAAGACTGTAAAGTGCTTAAACACAGTTGCTTAAATCAAAAAACATTCTGGGTTTAGTGACGCGGGTTTACTGGATCATCTTTAGCAGTGTATCCCTGGGCTCATCGTTTCTTTGAGGGGAGCAGTTCTGTAAACGGCTTTAGATTGGCCTTCACATGGAGGGAGTTGCTAGGATGGAGGACATTTTGTATAAATGAAGGCAGACACAGTCTTCCTCTTACACAATCACGGAAGCTGCGAGAAGGAAACTGACAATGGAGGTCTGTGACACGTGCCCCCATGGACTGACTGTCTGCTGAGTCTGAGGTCTAGCCATATGCTTGTGTGTGAGGTCCTCCTAGACAGTGGGCCCCCACTTCTGGTCCCCTGCAGCACAGGACACATGATGCTTGAGGAGGCTGCTTCTAGACCAGAAGGGAGACAGTCCTTCGGTCATTCTCCAAGGTAGCCTTTCTAGGGAAGAAAATATGACCCTGAAAGACACTTCCACAGCTGAGCCTGAAGACAGCCCCGTCAGGGTCCCTGTGGATGATGGGCGAGGCTGAAGCTGAGGGCTGCGGAGGTCATAATCCACCTCTGCTCTTGATCTACGAGTGCCCAGGCTTGAGGTGAAGCATCCAGAACAGCACTGTGCAAGCCGACCCCCTGGGGTCAAAGTCCAGCTGCAATTTAAGAGTCAGAAACTGGCTCAATTGGGCAGTCCCTGAAACACTGAAGAACGACAGTGGGACAAATCTAGCATTGCATTGTGAGGGCCAGGTGGCCCTTGTGACCAGCATAATTTAACAAAAATATAATCTCAAAAGCTAGTGAACATGGGCTATTGTTATCTAATATTTAAATAAGTATTTTACCATCATATATGGAAATTTCTGAATCCATATCATCCTTCTTTGCTTTTGATAAGACCCACCTGTAAATAAAGATGAAGACAGATATTTGCCATTAAAATAAGATTTGTAATTTATAGATAAAATGAATGTAAAAATTCAAGATATTACCCAACATAATTAGTTTTCATTCAAAATGAATTAGTGTCAAGAAGTTAGCTAGTTAATCTAGTCTTTGCATACTCCCAGGAGGACTGGAATCTGCTCTTCCATATTGGTTGGGAGTAAGCTTAGTCGCAGAGTGGGAAATGGGATGGAGTACATAGCTAACTACTAGCAGAGGCTCTGGAGCATTCTAGCCAGTGGTGTTAACCGGTACAGATAGGCCCACCATCGCTGTGGCTGCAACAGAAGCTCGTGAATAGCCATTGTTAATATCTACCCTAGAGAACAAGGAAATACTGTGTGTTTTCTTTGCATTGCGAATTTGTGTCTCTCTTTGTATAAACACATAGCTTAAAATTATTCTACCAAGACACAGGAGAGCTATTCTCAGAGACCAATAGCTTCGGAAAACCCACCGAATGGCAGAAAATGCTCTCTTGCAGGAGTACTCACCCAGCCAGCCTTCCACTGTCAAATGTCTCTGTAAAATAGACTTCTCCTATAGGTTGGGGTGTCTTATATTTAATAGTCTAGAAGAGAGATTGTTAAAGCCAAAGTTATTCATTTTTGCAAATATCTGAAGTTGTCGTGACAGTTCAGAACCTAGGACGCGGTGCACACAGACAGCAGAGCCCTAGGACGCGGTGCACACAGACAGCAGAGTCCTAGGACGCGGTGCACACAGACAGCAGAGTCC